CGCCGGAAGAAACACCAGGTCATTGACTTGCCCGCAAAAATATCTCGGGTAGAGTATTGTGAAATGAACGAGGTTCAGAAACAAATTTACGATGCCGAAAACGAGGAGGTTCGCAAACTGCTCGCTGATCGTGCGGCGGGTATCAAGACCGGTAATAGGTCTGCCAACGTTATGATGAAACTCCGATTTGCAGCCATCCATCCTCTATTGAAACGCAGACTGTACAACGAAAAGACTCTGAGCAAGATGTCGCAGGCGTGTTTGAAAGAGGAGATGTGGTCACAGTCCGACCCAGATATCATCTACGAGGAACTGTTACCGTACAACGATTTTGAATGTCATGCAATGTGCAAGAAACACCCAACGTCCCTGGGTAAGTTCGCGTTGCGCAAACAGGAATGGATGTATTCCGGCAAAGTGGACAAACTGTGCGAACTGCTCAAGCGGTTCAAGGCAAACGGCGATCGGACGCTAATCTTTTCTCAATTCACGCTCGTCATGGACATTCTCGAGTACGTGCTGGAGACGCTGGACATGGGCTTTTTCCGACTCGACGGCCGCACCAGCGTCGAAGACCGACAGTCGATCCTGGACGCGTTCTACCAGCAGACCGAGATTCCCGTGTTTATGCTGTCAACCAAGGCAGGTGGCGCAGGCATCAACCTGGCATGCGCCAACAAGGTGATCATCTTTGACTCGAGCTTTAATCCACAGGAGGACGTGCAGGCCGAAAACCGCGCGCACCGCGTCGGACAGCTCAAGGAAGTCGAGGTGATCCGTCTGGTTACAAGAGATACAATCGAAGAGCAAATGTACGCGCTGGGCCAGACCAAATTAGCACTGGACCAGCGGGTGGTCGGCGACGACGCGGCGGACTCGAAGCGCACCGAAGAAGTTGGCATGAAGGCCGTTGAGGATATGATTGCAGCCAATTTGGATGAGAAGGAGTAATTTATTGGTACCGTGCTGGAGGCGTGTATTGTAGTATGGATGTTGCAGGTGCATAATCACGGCGTTGTTTATTAATCATGATACCAAATAGATATAGATCATTTGGTTATACTTAATTGCCGAACAGATTATTTATTAAAATCGTTCAATATACACTCATTCATTTCTCATAATGATATGAACTTTTTTTTTTTAATGCCAAAAGAAAAAAACTACACACCCAGAGCCTTCAACAGCTCCTTACCCACTCCCGTGGCACTAGCCGGGTTCTGTCCAGTAATCAACACCCCACCAAGCTGATTCGTCTTGTCCACAACAACACGCTCACCCCAGGGCTGATCGGCGCTGACATACTTGTTACCCGTGACCTCGTTGAGCTTGTCTTCCAGCAAGAATGGCACCACCTTGTCCAGCTCAATCTGCTTCTCTTCGACGTTGCTGAAGCCGGTCACGGTAGAGTTTTTGATTAGCGGTTCACCAGATGGAGTTGTCGCATTGACGAAGACCACGGGTCCGTGGCAGACGGCCGAGACAGGCTTTTTGGCAGAGGCAAAGGTTTGGATGAGAGAGAGGGAGACCGGATCGCTGACGAGGTCGAACATTGCTGCACGAAAAGTTTTAGCCATTGGCAAAAGACACAAGGGAGGAGGGAGGAGGGAGACTTACGGCCGTGTCCGCCAACGTAGAAAATGGCATCGTACTCGTGCGCCTTGGGCACGATTTCGGCAAGACGCACAGTGTTCTTCCACAGAGCTTGCTGGTTTTTGTAGAAGTTGACTGAGAGCTCGTCCGACTCGAACATTTTGATGGAAGCCGGGTCGAGCGGCGCCTCGCCACCCTTGGGCGAGGCAATGGTCATTTCAACACCGGCATCGTGCAGGACTTGCCAGGGGTGGGCGAATTCGGGCTGTTTTGTCAGGGTTAGCATCAAATTGCCTGTTGGAGATGGAGAAGAGAGGCGTACGAGGAACCAGCCGGTGGGGTGGTCGTTGCTGGGGATCTTGTCTACAGAGGTGAGGACGACGAGAACCTTGGGAGCCATGATTTAAAAGAAAGGATTTTCACCGCTGGGTTAATGTTTCGATGGCGTTTGACAAGAATGAGAAAGCACAGTAAACTGACATCTGCAAGCTGGTACATGTACAGTATTTATATGTTCGCATGCGGCATATGATATCATACGCCGTCACCTCCTCATACCTCTTGATATGTAATCAGCCCGCACAACCCCGCCATGCTGAAGATTTCAAATGTCTTCAACATTGGCATGTAGTAAGCATCGTCTCCATAGTCTTTACGATGGTCCAATGGAAACCCAGCCATGGCCACGAAAAGATTCATGAATTTGAGTATATGCAGCTACGGCTTTAGCGCGTTGTGTTTATGCAGGTGGAGGCTAGGCCGCTACTGGAATAGTCTCCGGGGCTCTACAAGGAATTGCGTAAACCGGGGTTGCGCTAACGCGAGGTTTCACTGTAAACCGTATACCATGTATTATACAGAGCCCAGGGTGGTGCACGCCTGGGAATAACAGTTCTCAGCAAAATAGGAGTTTTTCGAGACTTGCCACGTGGTACGGGTTTGGACTCCTATCTCTGGAAATTGTTTTTGGCTCGCAATCCTGGGTATACTACCAGTTGACGTACTCGAGACGTTATATGTGTGAGCCGGAAACATATATTTTCATATCCATTGATGTATTAACCGGCTTCTCTACATGGACAATTCATTCGTGTATTCATGATTCATGATTCATACCCAGACCAACCCAATACCAAACTACCCAATATGGGTTCTTAACCAAACACCGGTGTCAGCTCGCCCTCGTATACCTGCGGCTGAATCATATGGTACCATCTGGCCCATCTAGTAGAAATTAGTTAGATCAGTCAGAACCACCAGAAGATAAAGAACAGATTGATACCTTTCATGCAATGGAGATGGAAACTTGAAAATATCGGCTCCATCGAGATCAACCTCGTGACACACAAGTCCATTCTCAAAGCACTTGCCCGTGGTCCTGTACTCGTCTTTCCACGTTATTCTTCCCTGAGGTGCAGCTAGCAATTTTTGAAACACCTTGATAGCGATATTGTTCTGTCGTGCGAATGTGCCGGGATAGACCTTGTCGCCTAGGTATTGGAACAGCCGGCAATCGTCATGCAAGACTGCTACCACACCTTCTAAGGATACCAGGCGTTTGAGACGACGGCGAGGAGTCAGCAGGGCCCCAGCATGGTGCTGTCAATATGCCTGTTAGTTCCTATCTTATATCCTCCTTGCTGGGTTTAATATGCATACCATATCGATATAACACAAGATCGACCGGACTATCGCAGGATGACCCGCCGTCAAGGTAAACACGTGGTTTGCAGCTTCCTGGCTGAGTTTGTACCCCAAACTTTTTGAGGTTATTTCCGAAACCACGTCTTCGAATTCAGGCCGTGAAAAGAAAATTCCGACATTATCCGCGCAAGCCCCATGTGTTGACAAGTACGAGATCTCTGGCAGCATTTCAAACACGGAATTTTTATCAGCAAACTGCCCTTGGTCGCTGAGGAGACAAAATTTGGGACCCTTGTCGCTGTTGGTAATTGCGTTTTTGATCAGGCGTTTTAGTTTCTGTAAGCATTTATGGGCTTCACCAATAATAAAGACAAACTTGCCATTGATGACGTCCTCAGAGCTGGTTCCGGGGTAGTTGGGCTGACAAAATTCTGCAAGGGATTCTTCCGGTTTGCCGTTTTTGGTAACTTGCCAATCTTTGATAAAAACTGTTTTTGTTTCTTGTTCACGGAGGTACTCAAATAGCAGCTGTCCCAGAGTAGACTTGCCAGAGCCAGGCAAGCCCCAGATCAGAACAGCTCCGCGTGTATGTACTATTCCAGCGATGATAGACACTGTCTCTGTCCGAGGGCAGATATAAGGGTGGTCATTATTTGCAGCGGTCTCGTGAGAAAACTCGTCTGGTTCTGGCTGGAGACCAGGTGCCAGTGGCAGTGGGTCTGAAATTGTCTGAAGTAAATCGCCAGTCCGGTTCGAACCACGCTCTGTGTGTCCAACAAAGCGATCCAGGGACTGGCGCAATCCGTCTCTGTGTGATCTCTCTGTGTGAAAGGACTCGGGCTGGCGAGGCAATTCATGATTGTTAGAAGATCCCGCCGCAACAGAAAGGAGCTGCTGCTGGGGTGGCCTGACGGGTGAGCTCATGGGGTCTGTTTTGTATTCAAACGAGTGTTCAGGCGTAGTAGAGAACAGTAGAAGATCTCCCCTTTCTAGTTTTGTATATGGTAATGCTCGACGCGTGGTTGGAGGAGGCTCATCGAATTCCTGGTGGAGAGACACGGTATGGCCGCAGTCTGCACACTGGGAGTCTGGACATAGATCTCTCAGACTTGCCACAATCGAGCCTGCGACACAGGGGCAGTCGAACATTCCGGCGAAGAGACATCGTCCAAGAGTTAGTTTGACTCTTGGGCCGTCAGGGCTTGGCGGTGGTTTCAGTGGTGGCATGGTTGAACTCAGATGAAAGTGTAAGAAAGTTAGGTTGGAAGCGAAGGGTGAGAACAAAACGTGAGACGCGTCAGAAGTAAACACAATGATACCAGTTAATCAAGCAGTGCGGTAAGGCTGGGCTGCAGTAGGGGTGACTCGAGGTGAAATAAAAAGCATATTGCAGGCTAGGTTCAAGAAGTGATTCATTCTAAGAGGAATTTGATAGAGAATATGGATTGGAGTCTGAGATAAGATGAAGGGTGTGTGTTTACTTGTTTACCTTATAAGAGTGAGAGAGAGTGGTAGAAGAGTAGAGCCTTAACTGCTGTGGACAATGAGTATAAACTGGCAATGTCAGCGAGAGTCCAGTTTTCAACTTGACATTGTCAGGTATTCAATTGCTAATGTTTAAGCTTTCCAAAATTAAAAAAAATAAATAAAATAAATAAATAAAGCAATGCATGTATATACATGAACTAAATAGGAATAACTGCACAACAACGTTGGGATAGCGGCAAAAATAAAGGACAGCCGCAATTCAGCGAAAAAATAAGAGCCCGATGCGGGGGTCGAACCCGCAGCTTTCAGATAACCTTGTATCCTCAGAAATTATCTTCAGAGAGAGATAAGAGTCTGACACTCTGCCAATTGAGTTAACCAGGCTTTGATGTCGATGCAGTCAGAAAATATGACTTATGAGCAAGGTACAAAGTCATAAGCGTTAGACGTGAGGCTAGTGATAGTGCGCACTGCGCATATCTGAGGTCAACTGAGTATTTTATTGGGATTTTTCCTACGTGCTACTTCTACTATGGTGTTTCCAGCAAAATGCAGAATAACATGAGTCCCACAAACAGCAGCATTTGACATGGACAAGTGAACGGTTTATTGTGTATACATGTACTATGTATGTACTTTGTCTATGGAAAAGTCTTCATGGATCCACCTTAGGGCATGTCCCGGGTTAGCCGTGACTCTATGATGAATGCGCAGTTCCACCAAGTAACTGATTCTATTGTTTTACAAGTTAACATTTTGGAATATCGTTATTTACAGTCCAGGAACACCACGTTATCCGGAAACTCGAAGTGGATACTATTTGCTGCCTGATGTGCGTAGTGATTGGCCTTTGGCCTCGGCTGCTCGGGAGCCCGAGATTATATATTTTATATCATCAACATTCGAAGGGTATGGTACATACCAGTCTACGTACCACCAATATGACAGCAATTATTATTTTATTATAAACACATTATACTCCGTATCTCTAGACAGAGACTATTTGATCTGGATAGCATGAAAAAAGAAAGAAAACAAAGCAAGGTATACTCTCTTTGTCCGGCATTCCTCAATATGTATTCAATCATCTCCGCTTGCATGCATCCGTGTGGTCCCGAATTCATAAACAAGCTGTGCCCCCGTCAAATTTGCAATTCTCCCCTCATCCCTTCTCAGACTTGCCTTTGCTCTAACTTGACTTACCTCCACCTAAAGACATCACACACCAACACAAAAAAAGGCCCTAAGGGAGAAAGAAAAAAAAATGGCCGGCCGCTTCATGCTCGGCCTCGTGGGCCTCGCCACTAGCACCGGCTGCTACATAGCCGATTGGAACGAAACACACATCTACAATCCGAACTGGGCGCCACATGCCAAATTCCACAACGGGCAGACCATGTCTATGGGCTTGCTGCTCGGCCTCACCACGCTGTACTACCTCTACGGCCCGCCAGCCTCGTCCTCGCTTCCCCTGGCTCAGCAGCGATCTGCGCTGTGGACCGCTGCCTGGGTTGCCAGCTTGTACTGGACCACGCAGTTTTCGGCCCTTTTCTATCCGGGTTCGTTGGCCGTCGATCCCGAATTTGGCGAGGGCCAGCCGCAGGTTTATCTGGTGTCGGGGTTTTTGAGTATGACTGTCGTTGGGATCTGGTTGGAGATGAAGCGGCTTAAAAATGTTGCAAAGAGGGTTGATTAATCAACAGATATCCTCAATTGATGTATACACGCCGCCGAAATACAAAGGCGAGTGAGTATCAAATGGGACAAATGGCTTAGCAATGAAGCTAATCGCATCGGTCAAAGTTATTTTACATTTGGCTAGCTGTGCTTTCGAATGTTGTATATTACCAGTCTTTACAAGAAACTCTCCAATTAAATGTTATTTACATGTACTATTTATCATTCTGCTCGTAGAATGCGAATCAACCTGTATAGTCTCAGCTTAATATTGGAAATGCGGGGTACTATATAGTACCAGCCAGTCACTGCTACCGTTGCACCATAATCAGCACCTAGATCAGCATTTTTTAGCTTAAAATATGTTGATCCTCATGTGGCGTCGGTGTTTAATTAGTAGCCCGAGCTTTATTCTTCTACTTAAACCTTGGAATGCTTGCGTTTTCTCAACGCCAGTGTCAGAAAATAGATACATGTAACTAGGGGATACATTTTCTACCCTACATACATAATGGTGCTACAAATCCTGCAGCAAGGAGTTCTCGGCTTTTGCTGGACTGCTTCTCTGGTATCTGCCTACACTCCGACAATTTCAGACCCTGATGCACCCAACGCCCAAACTTCCTGTCCTGGGTACCAGGCCCAGGACATGAATGTCAATGCTAATAAACTCACAGCTACACTGACACTAGCTGGACCCGCTTGCAATGCCTATGGTTCAGATATAGACACTCTCCAGCTCACGGTGGAGTATCAGGACGCTCATAGACTTGCTGTCAATATTGAACCAATGTATATGGTACAAGGTCACTTTCTATACTTTATGCACGTACGCAGTAGCAAGTACTAATTTACCAGGACTCGAGCAATCAATCATATTACATCCTACCTCCGGACCTGGTAGATAAACCCCAGAGTGCCACATTCATGCCAGCAACAGATCTAGCCTTCAACTGGGGCAATACACCCAGCTTCTGGTTCGACGTCCGCCGCAATTCCACAAACGCCACCCTTTTCAGCACCCGAAACACCAAAATAGTTTATGAGAATCAGTTTCTCGAATTTGTCACACAATTACCACCAAACTATAACGTCTCAGGCCTTGGAGAGCACATCCACGCACTGAGGCTTGAGCCGGGGTTCGTGGCAACAAACTGGAACGCTGATATTGCAGATCCAACAAACAGAAACATGTACGGCACGCACCCATTCTACATGGAAACGCGATATTCGCCCAGCCCCCAAAATAAAAAAGTGCAGGGGTTCTCGCACGGGGTGTATCTTCGAAATGCCCATGGTTTGGAAGCCGTCTTTGGCGAGCAGAATTTGACGTGGAGGGCGATTGGCGGTAGTATCGAGCTGTATTTCATGGATGGACCTACTCCTGCTGATGTGACAGCCCAGTATACCTCTGGTATTGTCGGGCTCCCTGCCATGCAGCAGTATTGGACACTTGGGTTTCACCAATGCCATTGGGGATATGCGAACTGGTCTACTGTGCAGTACAACATTGACCAATACCGACTCAACGATATCCCGCTAGAAACACAGTGGATCGATATTGACTACATGGATGCCTATGCCGACTTCACCACGGATCCCGTCCATTTTCCTGTAGATGAAGGGCAGGAGTTGATCAGGAAGCTGCACAGTGCCGGGCAGCATTTTATTCCTATCATTGACGCGGCGCTTTGGTGGCCTGGAAATTTAACTAACTACACGAGCTACAACCATGGCCACGAGCTCGGCGTGTTCATCAAAAACCCCGACGGCTCCGAATACGTCGGCCAGGTATGGCCGGGCAATGCTGTGTGGCCAGACTGGGTTAACCCCAAAGCCGAAGAGTTTTGGGCCAGCGAAATCGCCGATTTCCATGGAATCCTCGCGTTTGACGGCATCTGGAACGACATGAACGAGCCATCGAGCTTTTGCGATGGCAGCTGTGGCACAAAATCACCCCAAGCTGGATTTTTGGGGCAAACTCAGCGAGATGTGAATGCGCCTCCGTACGCAATCAACAATGTCCAGGGTGAGCTCAGCGCAAAGACAGTGGCTACGAATGCCACGCAATACGGCGGCGTCCAGCATTACGACGTGCACAACATTTTCGGGTATGGGCTTCTCAAGGCCACAAATGCTGGCCTCCAAAGAGCCATGCCAGGCAAACGGCCCTTTATCATAGGCCGGTCAACCTTTGCAGGCGCCGGAAAGTACTCGGGACACTGGGGTGGAGACAACAGTGCAAGCTGGCAGCTGATGTACTGGTCCATTCCACAGGCGCTCACAAATGCGCTATTTGGGATTCCCATGTTTGGCCCTGATACATGTGGCATCTCAGGTAACACGAGTGAAGAGCAGTGTGGTCGGTGGATGCAGCTTTCTGCCTTTTTTCCATTCTACCGAAACCATTATGGAATAGGCGAGCAGGGCCGAGAGGCGTGGAGTACGTCCTTTTCTTCTTCCTGTTCATCAGATGTGACGTATAGTGCTGACATTTCTCAGGATGGCCCAGGGTGGCAGAATGGAGCCGTGACACTATCAGAATCCGCTATTCAATCCTACCATACATCTACACGCTCTTCCACGCAGCCTCCACCATAGGCAGCACCGTGATGCGAGCCCTACAATGGGAATTCCCCAACGACCCCAGCCTGTTCGGCGCAGATCGACAGTTTTTACTCGGCCCTGCAATCATGGTCATCCCAGTCCTAAACACAAACGTGTCGAGCGTGGACGGTGTGTTTCCAGGCGGCGACCAACAACTCTGGTACGACTGGTATAATCAGACTGCTATACCAAAACAACAGCACCAGGGACAGAACACGACTGTTGATGTGCCGCTGGGCCATATACCCGTGTATGTGCGAGGCGGATACATTGTGCCCATGCAGCAGCCTTCGTACACAATTGCAGAAAGCAGACGCAATGCGTGGGCTGTGCTTGTGGCGCTCGATAACAACGGATCTGCGAGGGGATCGCTGTATCTCGATGATGGGGAGAGCCAAGAGCCTTCTCAGACGCAAACGGTGAAGTTTTCAGCCCAAAAATCGAGTCTGGTGGCTAATGTCCAAGGGAGATTCGCATTGGTTGATGGCGTAGTCACGCCGCTGGCTAATGTGACTGTGATGGGCGTGCAGGAGTTTACTGATGGCTCTGCTGTCACGTTTAATGGAGAAAAGGTGGACACACATAAAGTGATCTATGATCAACCTCGCCAGTTACTTCAAATTATAGGTCTGCAGGAGACCACATTCAAGGGAGCCTGGGCAGATAGTTGGGAGATCAAATGGGGCAAAATCTAAACATCACTTGTAGGTTACGTATATAACAAATATGTGCGAACCCTAGGAGGCTACACCCCTGGACTGTAATCGGGCCTTTAACTCGAGCATTTGGTAGTGTAGCAGTAGTAGTCATGCGGGGTCTATGGAAGATAAGCCGCCCCGCATCCCTAAGTTATTTGCTTCTTGGTTGCAATTCTCAACGTGCAGCCGCCATGAGTGCAGTAAATTCGGACTCGACTGCCGAGCGCAGCCACTTGCTCTCCATTCCTCTAGATTTAATCACATATATATTCGATTTTCTGCCCAATCAAGATCTTAAACGCGCGCGTTTGGCCTGTAGAAGCCTCCGAAATGTTGTTCGCTTGCGAATCCACCGCGTCTTCATATCAGCCAACCCGCACAATATCGAAATTGCAAGGGCTA